AGCGTATTGTATAAATGAATACAGTTAATGTTTTCATAAAGAAATGCACAGCAGATTTCTCAAATACACTGGCCACAGGCTGAATAATGCATCCCTCTCTCTTTCCCTTCCCCTGACAATAACAATAGTCTGCTTTCATTTGCAAATTAATCGTTGTTATCCTGAATGAGTTTTTTGAGTATTGCACTCCCTGCTTTTGTACACAATACATGCTCTCTATTCAACAACACTCTAAGATAATCTCTCTTCAGACTCTTACCTTCTTAAAAAATAGTATTAAATTTATTTATGAGAGAGAGAGAGAGAGAATGCCCACATGTGCTGATTCTCTCCCCCAACGCCTACAATATCCAGAACTGGTCTGGGGCTGGGCCAGGCTAAAGGTGGGAGCCGGGAACTTGATCCCGATCTTCCAGGTGGGTGGCAGGGACCCAATTCCCAGAGCCAACACTGCTGCCTTCCAGGGTCTGCTTTAGTAGGAACCTGCAGTCAGGAGTGGAACCAGCCCTGGAATCCAGGTATGCAGTCAGGGACTCGAGCATCCTAACCAGTAGGCAACATGCCTGCCCCTCTTAGTTTTTACCCTGCAATTGCTATAGACAATATCCCTTCCACATGTGTAAGATGATGATAAACCATTGTTGTAATACTTTGTGTTGATATAATATGTATCACAGAGGAACCAGCTCGATGGAAATAAAACAGAGGAAAATAAATATGATTCCCCTTCAGCATGGCTTCTATGCTGTAAAAGCTTGTTTTGGGCGCGCAGCAGATCACAGGATCCTGAGTGCTGGCAAGAGACTACAAGCTGGCTTGTTAGAAGCAGGGCTGTGCCTTTGATTGTTCACTTCACAAGTCTTAGCGCAGTTTCATGTTTTCCTCCGTGAATTAGAAGATCTCGTTTTCCCTTGAAGAGATCATTTGCATGGTTTACTTTTATGCACCTGCAGTCCCCATTTAAAATCTCCCCGCAGCTAGCTGCCCACACACACAGCAGTCAGGTTTCCTGGATAACTAATGTTCTCACACTTGGAAAAAAAGGGGCCAGTGTGTGTTTCTTGCCAATGGTACATTAGCCTATTACCTTCATGTTCACCTGCTAGGTGCAAACAATTGTGATTCTGTCCCAGTGGCCAATTATCATTAGCTGACCGGGAGCTTTTGTTAGGCAGCCCTGAGGGGCTGGCCGGTTGCAGACAGGGTCCAGGAGCATACCATGGGTGAGGATAACAAGTGCAGCCTGTTTTACAAATTGAAAGGGCAGGAATCTGCCAATATGGATGATAGATAGGAACCTGGGCGGCCTATTTTTATCCCTGTTCTCTTTACCACCAGCGGCTCTGCTCTGCGTGGCAGCCAAGGTTTCTGTGTCCTGCGCCTGTAGTCAGATAACCTTTCTCGCTTGTGCTTTATGAGGCCATATGCTTCTGTCCTAAAATAGAGCTGAGGGTCCTCTGAAAAGAAAAGCTCCCTGCGTGCCCGTGGGATGTCTGCAGGAGGAAAGGTGCTTGGCCCTGCAACATATTTCAGTTCGGATTTCTACTTGGCAAAATGCTAATTTGCGTAACCCAGGGAATTTGTTTAACCTCATTGAGCTGCTGCTTCCCGCTGTGTACAATGGAAATCATCGTTCCATCTGCTGGTGTTGGTGCTGAGTGAATAAGGTCACACGCATGTCTGTCATTGCCGCATTCGGCTTGCTGGGCTCCATCATACCACTGTCAAGTCAGTGCCAAAATTCCAGTAACTGGAAACAGTCCTACTACATGACCAGGGTGGGTCAGCGGGTAGGCTTGGCTCCTCTCTGCCTTACTCCAGAACCCACATGGAAGCAGCAGCCACTGCCTTGAACTTGAGCTCATCACTCCTAGGTCAGAACTGGTCACCTGGTCCAACCACCTACAAGGGATCTGGTTGTATGAACTGCAGCTCTGTTAGGTACCTGGAGACCCTGCATCAGAAATATTTGGGGGACAACGTTAATGTCTATGATATGTCTTTTACATAAGTAAGACTATTTGATGGTTCTCTGAACTTTGATTTTCTCATTCAACAATATATTATGAAAATCTGACCAAGTCAACTTGCTTAGACCTAAGTCATTGTTTTTAGTGTCATTGTGGTATAAATATCACATAAAAATCATATAATCATATAAAATCATAAAATCATATAAAAATCACATTGTGGTATAAAATTTACGTAGTCACTTCTTTATTGGTAGACTTCCTGTTTAATTTATTACCTTGCAATATAAATATACTTACTAACACCTTTTTGTTCTGGTGCTTTTATTTCCATAGGATAAATATCTAGAAGTATCTAAATCTGTGAGAAAGAAGCCTGGTTCTCAAAGAAAACATAAGGCTATGTTTAAATGACTATGAATCTTATTTAAATGGAGTTTATAATTTGGAGCAAAATATAAAGAAATGAATGTCTTAGAACTACCAGAATTCTCACTAATCTCTGACAATTCTCAACCTCTACCTAACCTATCCTCTACTGCGGGGCTTCAAAAAGTTCAAAAAATATGGAAATGCTACAAACTTTTAAACATTTGAAAGTGGAGGGAGACAGAGAGAGAGAAACAGAGATACTACCCCTGGTTTACTCTCCAGATGCCCATAATGGCCGGGGTGACTGACGCCAGGAGCCAGGGACTCAGTCCAGGTCTCTGAGGTGAGTGCCAGGAACCCAGCTACTTGAGCTGTCACGTGCTGCCTCCCATGGAGTGCGTGAGCAGGAAGCTGGAATCAGGAACTGGAACCAGGAGTCCAGCCCATCCTGTGTGGGACGTGACCATCTAACTTGCATCTTAATTGCTCGTAGTAGCTTCCTATTCCAGTTTTCTATGAATTTTTGGAAGTGCCTTCCTTTTTCCCCAGGCATGAGCAGCACTACCCGACCTCAAAGTTTTTGAAAAAGAAAAACTCATTTTTTTAAATGTTGTTTATTTTCATCCACTTGAAAGGCAGAGCAAGAGAGAGAGAGAGACACTTTCCGTCTGCTGTTTCACTCCCCAGATGCCTTCGACAGGCAGGCCAAAGCCAGGAGCCTGGATCTACTTCCAGGTCTCCCATACGGGTGAGAGGGGCTCAAGCGCTTGGGCCATCATCTGCTGCCTCCCAGGATGCAGTAGCAGGAAGATGGATCAGAAGTGGAACAGGCCGGCGCCGCGGCTCACTAGGCTAATCCTCCGCCTTGCGGCGCCAGCACACTGGGTTCTAGTCCCAGTCAGGGTGCTGGATTCTGTCCCGGTTGCCCGCCTTCCAGGCCAGCTCTCTGCTGTGGCCAGGGAGTGCAGTGGAGGATGGCCCAAGTACTTGGGCCCTGCACCCCATGGGAGACCAGGAGAAGTACCTGGCTCCTGCCATCGGATCAGCGCGGTGCCCCGACTGGGGTGGCCATTGGAGGATGAACCAACGGCAAAGGAAGACCTTTCTCTCTGTCTCTCTCTCTCACTGTCCACTCTGCCTGTCAAAAAAAAAAAAAAAAAAAAAAAAAGAAGAAGAAGTGGAACAGCCGGGACTCAAACCAGCTCTCTGATGTTGGATATTATCAGATCTGTTATCAGATGTCAGGTTGGATATTAACCTATTAACTGGCACATCTGAGCCCGTGGGCATCCCAGGCAGCAGCTTAACTTGCTTCACTACAAGGCCCACCCCGATCCCAAAACGTTTAAGACAGAATGAGATCCTTCCTCGGATATTAGCAATACAGGCTTTCCGGGCGCTTTATGTCACAAGACCTTAATTTCCCACTAGACCTGACCTTCTTCCTGTTGGAGTCACAAAAGCAGTAGTCATTCTGACAGCGCAGCCTGCTATGGAGAAAGCTGTTATAGACTTAAGGGCGAGACTGCTCCAGCCCTCTCCCTGTCCATGGCAGTGCAGAAAGATGGGACGCCTCCCAACATAATGCTACAACCAAGAGACAGCGGGAACCATACTCCAGTGCTTTTCCCTGGGTCACCTCTTTCTCCACCTGTGTCATCTCACTGCGTCCAATCTCCCCTTCTCATCCTGCGGCTCTCTGCTAAGTGGTTGCAGAATTATTTGCACACAACAATCCCTGAGTAAGCATAATCATCACAAGGCTGGAAGTAAAAATTGCTTTCTGTTCAAAATTTGGGGAACAATAACAACAACCAAAAAAAAAAAAAGTTCTTAGCTAAAAAAAAAAAAAAAAACAAAAACAAAAAAGGACCAAAAAATGCTGCTCACACCATGTAGATGTCACAACTCTATTTTTAAGAACTGAAGTTCCAAAAGCAGAGACATGAAATTACTGGCACAAACCTGCTGTCCAGTAATGTCTCTTTCTGGATCCTACAAAAACAAACAAACAAACAAACAAAAAACCTGCCAGGTCGGATTAAGAAATAATAATAGAAAAGCTAAGTCCCAAAGAATTTAGCTAGAGGTTCCAAAACCCAATTTGAAGGAAAACACTGGGACAAGAAACCCTCGCTGGAAGAGAATACATTTTTGCCATTTGTGAGCATGATGGCACCTCCTGTGTCCTATCCAGGATGTAAGTCGTTCGTTGGTGCAGCGTATCCACCGCGCGCCACCACTCCCCGCCCTCTCAGTCCGCAGCTGATTGCCATGTTCTGCAGTGCTGGTGCTAGGACTCCCCTTATTTCACTTAGCAATGACCCCAGCGTGCAAGAGTAGTGGTGCTGGCAATTTGGGCATGCCAAAAAGAAGCAATAAAGTTCTTCCTTTAAGTGGAAAAATAAAAATTTTCCACTTGATAAAAGAATATGTTGAGGTTGTTAAGATCTGTGGTCAGAATAGAATAAAATACAAAGGGTTTGGAACTATGTGTGGTTTCAGGCACCCACGAGGAGTACTGGTATATAGTCCCTATAGGTGAGGTGGGATTACGATACTAAATATGAAAAACCCTGGGAGCTCTGTCCCCTATTCATGACAGTCTTCTCTCATTCTATTCTTTTTTAAAAAAATATTTTATTTATTTGAAAGATAGAGTTACAGAGAGAGGTAGAGGCGGAGAGAGAGGTCTTCCCATCCCACTGGTTCACTCCTGAGATGGCTACAATGGCCGGAGCTGCACCGATCCAAAGCCAGGAGCCAGGAGCTTCTTCGGGGTCTCCCACGTGGGTGCAAGGACCCAAGGACTTGGGCCATCCTCTACTGCTTTCCCAGGCCATGGCAGAGAGCTGGATTGGAAGTAGAACAGCCAGGACTAAAACTCGCGCCCATATGGGATGCCGGCACTTCAGGCCAGGGCATTAACCCACTGCGCCACAGCACCAGCCCCTCATTCTATTCTATGCTTCCATTTAGTGTCTGCAAAAATCAAAGGACAAAACCCAAAACACTCAGATACAACACAACACACACACACACACACACACACACACACAGAATAGCACAATTCTGTGTTCATGAACCAATGGGTAGCAATTTTTAATATTCTTAATTTGCACTTACATAAAATTAGTTTACAGTTCTAGTTACAACATACTGAATGTTTAGATCAAACCAGGAAGAATACAGATGTTATTTTAACAAATTTATTTAATTTTATTTGAAAGGCTGAGTCACTAAGAGAAAAAGAGAGAGAGAGAGAAAGGGGGTGAGGGTCCATCCACTGCTTCACTCCCCAGAGGCCACAATAGCCCAGCCTGGGCTAGGCTGAAGCCAGGAGCCCGGAACTCCATCTGAATCTCCTACTATGGTGGCAGGGGCCCAAGCACTCAGACCATCTTCCACTGCTTTTCCAGTGCATTAGCAGGGAGCTGGATCAGAAGCAGAGCAGCTGGGACTCCAAGTGGCCCTCTGGTGGGGAATGCAGGTGTTGCAGGCAGAGGCTAAATCGGCTACACCACACTGAGCCCAGATGTGGATCTTGTATTGGGAACAGAGCATACATTTGTTGTTTATAGAGTGTATGAGTTTCCTGTGGCTGGTGCAGCAAGTCACCACAACGGGTATTTTCTCAGAAGTCCGAGTCGAAGGTGAGCCGCGATGCCTCCAGAGGATTGTTCTGTTCCTTGCCTTGCCCCAGCTTCTCAGACATTGGCATTCCTTGTGTCTACATCACTCTACTCTCCGTGTGCACTACACACCGTCTTCCCCTCTATCTGTGTCTCTCCCACGTGTGTCCTTTATAAGAACACTTGTCACTGATGTTGGGCCCCCAGATAATCTAGGATGATCTCCTTAGCTCGAGGTCCTTAACTTAATTACATCTGCAAAGACCCTGTTCTCAAATAAGGTCATGCTCTCATATTCTAGGGATTTGACGGGAAGATAGCTTTGGAATGGGGGTGGAAATCCAGTGAACCCACCTCAGAGAGGATGGGAACAAGAAAGGATACCCAGAGGCAAGCTGGAGTCTAAATCAAAGACCAAAAACTCTGAGGAAGGAAAATTGATTTTTTAAAAATCTGTTCTTATGTCAAATATGTGTGGTGATTTTTTTTTTAAACCCAAGCACAGTATCTGTGTGTTCTGCATCCCTGGATTTAGCCGATCACAGATCTGAATGTGTACAGACTTTTATCATTATCCCCTGCATACTGCAGAGTGATGACTGTTCATATTGTATTTACATGATCTGGGCTGTTAGAAGTCATCTAGAGAGGATTTGAAGTCCACGGGAGGATTTCCGTAGGAAGGGTGCAAGTGCTGTGCCACGCTGTGTGAGGGACTTGAGCGTCAGGGGACTTTGGTATCTGCGGGGGTTCAGGAGCCAATCCTTTGCTAATACTGAGAGGCGACTTCTAAAGAGGACTTCAATACATCCCTGGAACAGCGGGATTAAAAGAAACTTGTATTTTGGTGTCCCCAAGTTTGAAACCCATGCATATGGAGAGACTGTCTTCAAAACATTCATGGAAATGCATATCATGAAAAAGCTCTGCGTGGATTTCACTAAACTAATTCTATCTTTCCATGAACTTTTTGAAGAACCCTCACCTGCATTTTTGAATGGTTCCACTACGTCTCCCTGATGTCATGTTTTGTCTTTCTACTCTGACCTTTTGTAAGAGTTAAAGCACTTTATGAGACTTGCCAAATTTCTAGCCTTGGGCGTTTCCTTTATGCCTAGTACCTGTGGGACATTAGAAACAGCAAGAAGCGTGGGCTTGGCTGAGAGCAGAACAAAACCTCAGTCTGCAGGTGATCACACGCTGCTTCCTGCATCCAGACTTGGGGGGTTTCAAGGCCTGGGGTTGCCTGCACATCACCCTAATTGAGGAGAGCTCTGGGGAAGCCCAGTTTTCAGTGTCCCACCAGGCTAACGGTTTCCCTATCCTTGACCGTCTCCCACCTCTCCGTGAACACCCCTAGCCCATGAGCTTGCACTCGCCCCATGCTGCTGCTGCCGCCACCACCCTTTTGCCCTGGAGAACTCCCTCATTAGCTCCAGCTCTTGCACATCAATTCCCCTTGAATTTCCCTTGTACAGGGCTCTCTCTCAGATACTAAGTGCCTCTTTTTCCAGGGCTATTCCTTGTAACAAGCTTGCACACTTTCCAGCTCCCTGTGTCCTGTTATTCTTGCAAGTCCTTTCATTGAGTGCATCTTCTTTCCCAGGACATGGAAAGCTCCTCAAGATCAGAAGTCCTAGTGATTATTTACATTGGAGCCAACACACGTGTTCTTCTGCTAGACAGTGATGACCTTAACGGGCTGCTTCCTGGGTGGTGCTTCTCACCCCCTCACAGATCACCTGGAGCTCACATTACATTGCACTTTCTGGGGCACAGCTTGCAATGTTGCATTCTCACAAGCTCAGAGAGCCCAGCTCTTCCTCTTCCGGTCCAGCTTCCTGCTAACACACATCCCGGGAGGTGGTCATGACTGCTCACATCCTGGATTCCTGCCACCCAGGTGGGAGACCTGGATGGAGTTTTAGGCTCCTGCTTTTGGCCTGGCCCAGTCCCCAGCTGTTGTGGGCATTTAGGGAGTAGACCAGGAGAGGGAAGATATCTTGTATCTCTCTCTCTGCCTTTCAAATAAAAATAAAACTAAATTAAAAATTTTTAAAAACCAGCTCATGGCATTGAGAGTATAAGGACATTAGAACAATGGGTATCAGAAGACTTCCCCGAGGTGGTGTTCAGTGTCACTCAGAGTGCAGAGCAGGGTCAGGAGGCCCTGCTGTGTCCTTGGACAGGTGGTATAGGAAGCCGCCAGATGTGGCCAGGACTAGGAGGAACTGCCCCAAGCATCCCTCTTCTCTCCTTTTGTTGTTACAATAAGCGATAGTCCTTTGCAGCTTCTGGAACCTCAGCTACTCCATCCGGGCATTCAGCCTGAGACACTAAAATGCACACGTCCTCTATGAGCAGCATGGTTTGCCAGATCTTTGCACGATAGTGGCAATGTCCTATTATCTGCCCTATCCTCTATCAGGGGGCCTCTATCAGTTGAGCCCCTGAGCTGTGGTTAGGCAACTGAAGCATTGAACTTGAATCTGAATTCACATTGTCACATGTGGCAAGTGGACGGCACGTGGGAAGGGCCATCAGAGGCTGCAAACTCAGGGAGGACAAGTGAGGAAGCTGGCTCACCAGTCAAGGGAACTAGTGCTCCGTGGTAAGGTGGAGGCCTTTTAGACACTTCACTTGAATAGAGTTCCCCCTCTTCCCTGTCACAGCCTTTGATATTTGAGCCTACAGTCGCTGCTGTGTCAGGGTTCGCTATGCTACCATCACCAAGCCACTTGGCCAATTAACACAGAGACACGGAAAGCCCTTTGGTCTGGTTTAGTAGTCGGAGAATGAATGAAAAATTGCTCTGGGCCCAGCTGTTTTCATAAGGCCAGATGGGGTTTAGGCAGATCACCTGTGTAGACCTGGGGACAGAGTAAGGTGGGAAAGGCATGCAATTTAAAAAAAATTCAGAAAAGATGGAATCCACTGCAAATATACAACCCCCTCTCCTCTTCTTTCAGAAGGGAGTTAAGAGGTGATTCAGTTTGGGGGAGAGGCTTGAAGACTAGAAAAAAAGAGAATGACAAATGTTTGCCTGTAACCCAATGCAACACATCCCCCTGGTGCACACAAGCTGTCTGACCAATGGGGCCTTTGTAGTTGCTAAGATAAGGTTTCCAATGAGCCGGGGACCCAGTGATGTGAGTCTGGTGCAAGCAGGTGCAGGGAGATTTACCTATAGCTGGTCTGGCTAGTCATCCACTGGAGAAGCAAGACTAGTTCCAGGCCATGACAGGCACTAGGAGGGACCAGCCAGGGTCGAATGAAAGACAGTGAGCCTCCCACACCTGCATTGCACGTCAGTCCCTGACATCTCGCTCTGGGGCCAGTGACAGCAGCCGGGCACCCGACTTGCAATATGAACAATGAAACCCTGTGCTGATCTGCACAGAGCAGTTTGCAGATGAGGAGGGTGACTGGCAGAGCAGTAGAGCCAGAGTGACCCAAACACACTCTAACCCAGCGATGTAGTATCCCCTGGGCTTCGTGGACCCTTGCACCTGGGAGGTGAGCTGCACATGCAAGATTTGCCCAGCTGGAGGACACACCAGCCATGGCCTGCCTTTTGCGGAAGGGCCTGTCCCTGGGCACTGTGAAATTCGCTCTGGGGAAGTTCCTGGAAACAACTGGTGGGGATAGGGCGTTCTTTAAGTGGCATTTCTTTTGGTAGGCCAGGAAAGCGGCCAAGGGTTGTGACTCAGAGGGATGGGGTGAAGTGGGAAGAACACAGCACGGAGGCAGACATACCTGGCTATGCACACCTGTTTCTTAGCAAGATCACCTGGGAAACCTGTTAAAGCTGTGGATTCCTGGGCCCTGCCCTGGTTTCTAAAGCCGACTCTCAGGGCTTGCAGCTCTCCAGAGTTCCTGTTCTCTAAACAAGCATTTGGGGTGACTGTGTGACACGGGGGCTTCCCCAACAGGTAAGGTAGGACTTGCGAACACCAGGGTGTCAGCATTGGGCTGTGAACAGCCAGCTGGTTAGATGTAGTGTGATTTAAGAAAGGAAAGAAGAAAACTGTAGAGAACAAATCAAGGCTCAATAACTTGTAGCTGTTATTCTGGGACCATTAGATTGGTCTTATCTAAGATCCTGCTCTCTCTTTGGAAAGATAGCTGTTTGCCTTGCTAAGCGGTATTCACTGTGCCAAGACTCCTGGAGAATATTCAGCCAAATTCACAGGGATCCCAAAGTTGCAAGTTGCTGTCACTGAGTATTGAAAAAAAAATCAGTTCTTTTTTTTTTTAAGGTGGATGTTAAGGACCCCGGGGTAAGGTCCCCTTCAGGTCGGGGGCGGGCGGCGGTGAGATCGCTGAAGATGTTAACAGGTTGTCTGCTCCAGCCAAAGTCGGGGTTTGGGGCTGGGCACACCCGAGAAGGGCCATTTGTTCTGGCCCGGGAGAGGCGCTTCCAGCCGGAGGGCTCCGAGCGCGGCCGCCTCCTGGGTGGCACATCTTGCTTTCATTTGGCAGCTTGCGGCTTGGAAAAGGGGGAGGGGGCTGGCGTTCTGCCCTGCAGCTCCGGAGCGAAGGTAGCTGCAAACCCCGCAGGCTCTACCCTGCTGGTGCTGACACCGACGGAGGGTGGGGCTGCCGGAGGAGAGGATGCGCACGTGAGCCTCTGAGACAGAGAGGTGGGCGTGCAGCAGCTCAGGTAGGACTCGGCCGCCGGCCTGGGCACTCGGATCGGCTCGGGCGAGGCCAGCTCGGCGAGGTCGAGACCCTTGGGCGCCCTCCCTGACCCGCCCCGCCGCCGCCGCGGCTTTCCTGCAGGGCGGCGGGGGCGGGGCGGGGGCATGCGGGGCGCGGCGCAGGGGCGCGAGTGGCAGCGCGCGGGGGCCGGCGCAGCGCCAGGCCCGGGGCGCCGGGGCTCCGGATGGCCGAGCCCACGCGCGCCGCGAAGCCCGGGCGCTTTGCGCTCCGCTCGCCGCGCTGCAGGGAGGGCGCGGTGCCAGGCGCGAGCGCCGAGAAACCCCCAAAGAGAGCTTTTTATTTGCCGAGGATGAAGCCCCCGAAGGAGCCCGCCCCCAACAACAACAACAGCGTGTCCTTTGTGATCCACAGTCAACTGGGCAAGGAGATAAAACACATTTGCAGCAATTGCAGTCGAGGCGAGGACGCCCGGGACGGTGAGTGCCGGGGGCCCGTCGGGGGAGGCGGCTCTGCCGGGCGCAGGGTTGGGGCCACCCCCGGAGTCTGCTCCCTGGAGAGCTGCGGGGACGCCCGCCGCCCAGAGCCAAACCCGGCTGGCAGCCGGATGCTCCCCAAAACCAGGGCTTCGAAGCAGTTAAGGAAGCAACTCCGCTGCTCCCAGCACCTCTCCGTGGAAGGTGGAGTTTCGGCGGATCAGCTTAAGGAAATGTTACACCTGCTGTCTCCTTCCGGGCGCCCCCTAGCCGTGCGGCCTCCGTGCTCCATGGTGGGCATGGGATTTTGCCGGGCTGCGATCCAGGTGCGGGCTTGGCTCGCGAGGCTGCACTTTGGAGAGAGAGGCCGCTTGGCCTCGGCGGCGCCAGCGCCCTGGAGACTTGTGGAGTTGTTCAGTAATGGTCTGCTTAGCCTGGAATACGGCCGCGATTTCTGGCCCGCGCCTGGTCCCTTGGGAATGGTGCCTACTGGCCAGAGTCAGGGGAGGGGTCGCGCCGCCGCATCTTCCAGGCGAGTCCACGCGTCCTCCCCAGATCCGCCGTGCAGCGAATGGACCGTGGACGGTTGCCGGGGACGCCGAGCAGCGGCGGCCGAGAGCCGCGACAGCTGGCGTGGAGCGGGCAGAGCCTCTGCAGATGTGGGCGCGCAGGGGCGGCTGCGCCAGGTCGCGAGCCCCCGGGCGGTCCTCGCGGCGGACTCCCGAGGGCTCCTCAAGGTCGCGAAAAGTTTCAGGCAGCGGATTTCACGGGGAAAGCGTTCGCTGCCGGTGCGCCTGGAGCTCCTCTACTCGCTTGACGCATGCACCTGCTTGGGCAGGCAGATTTTCCTACCAACCAGGCAGGTTTCCTGGTTCCCTTAGGAAGAGCAGATGTTACTTGGGATCCCTCCCGATCCTTGTGGGCCTCTGAGATTCAGAGTAATGAAGTGACTGTGGCCGGGCTAATGCCTTTTGCTGCTAGCGCCATGATCCGTGGCTTTGATTAAACTGCAAGAGAGGCTGTTGCAGGACGCTTGAGGCGTCCGGGAGGAAGGTGCAAGTGACAGGCGCGCTGCCCCTGTTGGCCTAGGGGAGAATATTGGTTTCTGAGAAGCACACACTTAGCCACTTGTGTTTGATTCCAATGGGCACTGCATAAGCTAAGCACACCCAGACTAGGGACTAACGAGGTGGTACCAGACCAGACCACTCGCAAGGAGTGCCAGCTGCAAGCCGAAACGCTTATTCGATGTCTAGCGCTCTGTTGAGGGCTTTCCCTCCCAAATAGGCCGCTTCCGCAAGCAGCTAATATTTAGATAGCCAGCTCTAAATGTTGGTACCTAAAGAAATTTGCATGTCTACACTTGGGTGACTGCATATGTAATTATGAACTACATCACTGGTCAGCACGTGGTGTCTGCTCTCAGTGGAGACAGCCATGTTTTTTAACCCACACATATTTCCTCTTTAAAAAAAAAATTAATGTGGCCAGCGCCACGGCTCACTAGGCTAATCCTCCACCTTGCGGTGCCGGCACACCCGGTTCTAGTCCCAGTCGGGGCGCCGGATTCTGTCCCGGTTGCCCCCCTTCCAGGCCAGCTCTCTGCTGTGGCCAGGGAGTACAGTGGAGGATGGCCCAGGTGCTTGGGCCCTGCACCCCATGGGAGACCAGGATAAGTACCTGGCTCCTGCCATCGGATCAGCGCGGTGCGCCGGCCACAACGCGGCGGCCATTGGAGGATGAACCAACGGCAAAGGAAGACCTTTCTCTCTGTCTCTCTCTCTCACTGTCCACTCTGCCTGTCAAAAAAAAAAATTAATGCATTTGAAAGGCAGAGTTAGAAAGAGAAAGAGAGAGGGAGACAGAGAAAGAGAGATGGCAGCAAAGGCCGGAGCTGGGCCCCGCTGAAGATGGGTGAGTGGAGCTCTATTTGCATTTCCCACGTGGGTGGCAGGGCCCAAGCACTTGGGCCATCTTCTGCTGCTTTCCCAGGCACTTTATCAGGGAGCCGAGTGCGAAATGGAGCAGGCGGGACTGTCCACGAGGTGGCTTAACCCGCTGCACCATCACAACGGCCCCACTCATTTTCTCTTGAAACGTGTGTCATCTCTACAGTCTCTAATCTTCGGACAGTCCCACGGAGCTCTGTATGGATGCGTGCGCATGGCTCACTTAGCAGTATTTCCCCTCGAAGGATTCTCACACACAGGTACTTCAGGAAATGCACTGAAGATGAAATTGAGACAGTTTTGTTCTGGTGCAAAAATTTTTGAAATACCTGCCTAATATGCATGTTCTACAAACTTTTTGAAAACCCCTTGAACAGGGGAGACGTTTGTAGTACTTAATTTTTGCCTAGCTCCACATGGCTCTCCCTGCCTAGGCAAAGTGGTGTGTACTCATCGGCTGCCTGAAATACAGTAGGGTCAGTTTGACCTTTCTTCTTTTGTTGTTGAACCCTAATGCAGCACTACCTACTGTCAAAGGAAAGGAAATTCAAATAAATTCTACTTTTTGTGGGGATTAACCTCCACGATCATTTGTCCTGAGTGGAAGATTTGTGAGATAAGTACTTTAGTAGCTGTTTGCAGTTGGAGTCATATTTTCTGTGTGCCAGCTGCTTTAAAGGACGTCTGTGGTCCAGAGCACAGTGATGCAAACAGGTGAAGATATTCTTTTAAAAATTTTTTTTATCTGAGATGCAGAGACAGAGAGCAAAATAGCCCATCTGCTGATGCACTTCCCAAGATGTCTGCCATAGCCACAGTTGGGCCAGGTCAGAGCCAGAAGCCAAGAACTCCATCTGGGACCCAAGTTCTTAAACCGTCACCTGAAGCCTCCCAGGTACACATTAACAGGAAATTGGAATAGGGTGGAGCAAGAGCTGAAACCCAGGCACTCCCTTATAGGGTGCGGCATCTCAGCTGCTACACCAGTGCCCACCCTGGGAGTGTGTCCTATGGCAGCACACACCTGTGTCGTGTCCAGGACCACAGATCTGTCCAGTCCCTTGTTCAGTACATCAGAAGTCATTTAGCATCAAATGTAGAAAATTATGGTCATTGGGAAAGCCCTCACTTGAAATTTTACACAAGTACTGCACACTGAGTTTCTCACATACTTGTCTTCACAAGGCGGTTATTTAAAACATTTTCACAATTTTCCATGAAAGAACATCTATAACTGAAAGTATTCCGCTGTTATAGAATAAGCTTTAAAAGAAAGAATCCTGACTAGTGGAGCAGTACTAAATGGTGAAATTACATTTTAGCAATTATCTTTTAACTTGATTTTTTGTTCAAGTTCTTGCTTCTGTTAATTACTATTAAGGATGCCTTGCTGACCTTTATTTTTAATTATTTATTTGAAGGGCAGAGTGATGGAGAGGGAGAGAGAGTGAGGGAAAGAGGAGTCTTCCTTCTTCTAGCTCACTCCCCAAATGCCTACAACAGCCAGGGCTAAGCCAGGCTGAAGCCAGGAGCCAGAAACTCTAATCAGGTCTCCCATATGGGGAGCGGGAACCAAAGTATATCCAATACTTTGGCCAGTATTCATTGCTGCAAGGCGTATTAGCAGAAAATGGATCAGAAGTACAGAGAAACTGGACTGGAACCAGAACTTTAATATGGGAGGTGAACATCCCAACTGGTGGCTTAACCCACTGTACCGCAGCACCTGCTGTGGCCTTACTTTAGGTAACTGTAAAGAACTGTAGAATGCAACTCACCATTCATTAATGGCTAAAATAGCTTGTGTGTCCTTCCAACTTTTCTGCTCTGGTTCAGTACTGAAGCCATCTTCAGACATGGAAGCAGGTTTATATACCACTTCAGTGCTGAAGGCCCTGGAGCAAAAATTCAAGTCCTTGACCAAGGTGCCCCCTCTGTGTCACTAAGTTGACTTTTTTTTTTATGGCATCCATCCCTGTCACCTACACTGACTGCTGAGAATTAGAACTTGTGTATGTTCGTATTTCTCCGTGTGTATGTGTTGTACAAGGGTGTTTTTAAAAGTTCGTGGAAGGGGCCAGGCCAGTTTTATGGCACATCAGGTCAAGCTGTTATTTAAGATGGTTGCATCCCATATCAGAGTGCAGGTTTAATTCCTGGCTACTGGATAATTCCGGTCAGACTTCCTGCTGATGTACCCGGGGATGCAATGGAAGATGGCCCAAGCACTTCGGTTCCTTACATCCACATAGAACTGGATGGAGTTCAGGTTCCTGGCTCTGGCCTAGCCCGGCCCCAGCCATTGTAGCCATTTGGGGAGTGAACCACTGGAGGAAGATTTCTCTCCTGCTTTCTTTCTGTAATTCTGCCTGTCAAATATTTTTGAGTTCATTGAAAAATGAAATTGAAAGATTATTTTGGTATAAAAATTCTGAAATCCATGTAAGTTTTCTCATAGTATGATTTTCCATGACATTTTAAGACTCTTTGTATGCCAGAATTTTCTAGATTTCTAAACTTTTAATTACATTTATCATGTCCCTTAGTATACATATGCTGTCTTAATAAGCTAGGTTTAT